TTCGAGTTTTAACCAGTCCCACTTTCCCCTGAGGACACTGACTGTCTCTGAGGCAGGCGCTGTGGGAGCTGCCCACTTCATGTTTACGCAGCAGAGAGGACTTCAGCGGCAGCAGCCAACAGGCATCGAGCAAGATGCTGTTGAATTCCCAGATCCGTCTCTGGTAGCACATGGCCCTTTGGGTTTCTACACTTGTCAAGGCAGCTGGCTAGTTAGTGATGTCGCCCAGGCTCAGCACATGATGCCTTGGCAATAAGACTCAACCTGCAGTTCTAATTAAGTGCCTTGACTAGTGTAATTACTAGGGTTATTACTATGATACCTATTGCAACACATTTTCGATGAGCTACAGTACTTGCTCCCTCAAGTATTGTGATGTTTATTTACTGTTTTAAATTCTCAGTTCAAATTGCTTGTGTAAGAATTAAAACTGTTGAATGAGGGTTTATTTACATCTTATCACTTAAAGCAGTTTGCTGCTATTCATTAATCTCATAATAAAATAAAGAGTGTTCACAACAGTGGGCTCTGCCTGTGTAGTGCCTTTAGTTCACTGCGGACACCCGGGTGGAGAGGGTGATTAAATACTGTCATTTCACTTGTAGTGGCCGGCTTTACCATTCTTGTTTCTGATGTCTATTGTATTTGATCCTTGTTTTTCTTGGAGGGTGGATTAAGACTGCAGGATAACCCTTTCCCTATTTAGTTTGTCCAAATTATTCCTGATATGGGAGCTGCGTGTTCAAAACAGCTTGGGCTTTGTCCAAGAAACAAGGGAATGTGTGAGCGTTTTGTAAGGAGAGACCCTGCCGGTCAGTGTAAACCTCCTGGCCTCTTCCCAACTGTCCGGCTTCCAGCCTCACCGCAGCCCTGCAGCGCAGCCCCGGGCCGATCAGCAGCCACCTGTGTTTCTCTCCTGCTTTCCTTTGCGTGCTTCGTGAGGTCATTGACCTGACTGAACTGCTGCAGGGAGGTGAAAGGTGGAAGCAGCCTTGTATCCAAAATCGTGCCTGTTTGGACGAGAATGTTGTGTCAACACCCTGAACCTGCAGAACTGGTCAGGTCATTTGACTGTACTGTTCATTTCTGACTCATTTTCTATCTGTTTGCACATCTTTTTCATATGCTCCCCAGCAGGGAGAGTATATCTGGGAGTGTGCCTGGTAATATTCATATGTGTGTGTCGTCATGCTGATCTTATTTAAACATGGTCCCTTTCATCCTTCATTTAGCTCTTTTCAAATCTATTAGGTATTTTTCTTTTATTGTTGCTTGTCTTTGGTGATGAGTACTAATGGAAAGAGTCTTCAGAAGTCATTCCTGAGGTTTGTGAGGGAAGGGAATTGTGGCTGCACTGTGATTGAAATCCATTAAGGGTCTGCCTGTGGTGCAGCACTGAAGGGGGTCCCCCTTACAGTTTCCTCCCAATCAGGAGGGAAATTTTTCAGGAGAGCTCTGTCATGACAAAAAATATTTTTGCAGAAACTACAGAGAATTGGAAAGATGCAGGCAGGTCAAGTGGGGAATGGAGAGGTCTCGCAATCTGTTGTTTTCTTCTTCAAGGCAGATCTTGTTGGAGATTGCTGCAGTTAGCCAAATGGAATGAAAGGTTGAAATAAATGAGCTTTAATTTGTGATGCCGTGGCTTCTGGGGAAAAGCTTGGAACGTTTCAATCGCTGTTCCTTTAAGTCATGTGGCTCAGTTAATGCACCTGTGTAGATCAATGCAGTGTGTTGCCTGGCACTTGAACCCCTCCAGCTCCTCATTAATTCATTCCTCAAGTACCAGATATATCTTTCTGCTTGTGGGCACAATGTGTGTTAAGTCTTGCTTGCATGTACTGTATCAAGCCGGATTTCATGCTGTGAATCTTTGAATTTTCCAAACGTAAGCAGAGCTTCAGATGCAGGGAAGTCTTCCACGTGGCTAATCGGTTATAGTCAGATCCATATCCCTTTGAATTACCTTTGAAATTACATTCCAGCCCCTTCCCCCATCTCTTGCCATGTCTGGTGTCATCTGAAAATATACGAGGCTTGCAATTTTATCCTCCAGGAGAGTGCCTGCGCACTTGTTATTTTGCGCAGTGGAGCTCTGCAAAGTATTGCAGACATGTGGGTAACATTTACCCGAGTAACTCAGTGCTCCGAGACGGATATTTTCAAGGACGTTGATGCTGAAATGTGTGTGTGGGACCCATTCTGTTTTTCTGAACAGATGGGAGATAAGTGACTTTGATGGTTTCATAATTTCTAATAAAGCAGGTATCTGGTGCAGACGTCTTGTGCTCTTGCAAGTTCCTGATGACTTCGGGGTAGCCACCATGATCAACGCATAGCAGTAAACAGAAATGTTTGTCCTTAAAATGAGGAAATACAAGGCTCCTGATTGTGTAATTGTATATAGACCCTGTCAGTGTTGTTCCCAAAACAGCGATGATCCTTATAAATCATAACAACTGGCTATTTTTCCTTAATCTGCAGTAGAGCTCCTGTTTCCTGTTTGCGCTCTGCACATGTCCCAGAAGCATTCTGGGTCTGTATGCCCACACTGCCTTGTTTGTTTGTTCCCTCTGTATGCTGTACAATGAGCTGCTTGTCTTCCCTTCTGTGGTCAACAGTGCCATGATAATAAATCTGCTGTCCATGGATGCTGCTGCATCTCAGAAATGAAGCCTGCGCTTCAGTTGAGGAATGACTGGTGTTCAAAGTGCCAAGAGAGTTCTGTTTTGGTGGGTTACAGCTGTCCACATCTAGTCTTAGAGGTTGACATCGGGCGGATTTGTTTTGTTATTACAGGTCTTGTTTCTGTTCCTCAAACATACTGTATTATTAAACCTTAACAAAGAAGCCAGTCTTTTCGGTGTCCCCAGTGGGCGATGATCAGAAGTGGGCCAGGGCTCTGGCCACTGAAGAAATGCCTGGCCAGTATTTGTTTCTGGTGGTGACCAAGATTTTGGTCAAAACCTCTGGATTCTTGCATTAGCTCTCATGCATGATCTTAGAAATTGCCTGCGATTGAAATGTCCCTTTTTTGTCAATGAGTCGTTATTAGTTTGTTCTAATACTATAGGCCATGGATGCTCACATCTGCGCTGGCTCATCAGCGTAACAAGCACACCGAGAGCTGCTTCACTGTAAACTCAGAACAGATTAAATTTTATAGTCGTTGTCAATCAAAAAAGAAAGAGGCTTCAGGCTTTCATCTTGCTGTAAATATCCTTTGACTGAGACAGGAGTATAAGTTTGATTTCTGGGTTGTTGCACTGCAGTTGGGTCAAACAGTGCGCTGCTGCAGCATGGTAAGGCTGCTACTGCATTGTGTTGTAGTGTATTTCCGTTGCCTCTCTGGGAGATCTCACAGGAGAGCTTTGGGTGTTTCCTGACTGGAGCTGTGTGTCCTGTAAGGATCTGTGCATCGCTGTGCTGGCGGGACCAGGGGAGGTGAGACAGCGTCACACGAGTCAAGCCCTCAGTCCAGTAATCCTGTAATGGCTCCTGATGGGATTTCCTGCTGATCTCATTAAAATGAGTCTGTTGCCTCTCACTCCATCATCCTGCACTGGATTTCTTCCCATATCTCGTCTGGGAAAATATCTCTCTACCCCTCCCGCTGCTTCCAGGCACTCATGGGCGTACGTTATGCAACTGTATGATGTTAATCTTGTCTGTCTTGTAGTCGCAGTCCTCTCTGTCTTTCCTCTCCTCTCTCTGCCAGTAGTTGAAACTGCGCTGTCTGCACTTTAGACGCTGCTGAAAAGAGCAGCACCCAGGGCAGCTGACAAGGACAGCGAGTTCCCCAGGGAAATTGCAAAATAGCCAACTGACACCTACAGGGGCGGTTTGGAGTATGTCATCTGCTCCTTTCTGTTTTGTTCTCTCTGGAGCTCCTTATTCTGTGTTGTCGCAGCTTTCGGCAGCCAAAACAATTATTGCCAAATAAAAGCTCGCAAAACCACCCGCAAAATGCGCAAGCCAGAGACTGTTGCCAATTTCACATATTGTGAAAAGGCACAAAATGAATGTGCCTTGAAATATTATTAATACGATTCCTGTGCCGCACCTAAAGAAAATTTGTAAACATTTGTTGCCATGAGAAATATATCTTGAAGGCCATAAGGAACATTAAGCGTCTGTGGAGAGGCTTCTGGGACCAAGGAGGAGGAAATATGAGATTGTGATTCAGCAGCTTGCCTTCTTGCAGCCCATCGTTCAGAGAATGGTAAAATCAAATAGTACTTTGACAAGGATCCTTGATAAAACTGGAAATGTTAAGTAGTGCTGTTCTTTATTTTGTAGTTGAATCCTATACCACAGGGAGGTGTTGACACATTTACTTTGAACTGGAGTAATTCTATTTCAGTAGTGTGAAATAAAAGAGCAGGATTAGTTTTTCATATATAGCTGCATTATAATCTCAAGTGTATAATGTCCCATTGTGTGTTCATTTACAGTGCAATGCACAACCTTTTTTTGCCTCAAAATGTTGCATAATCCTTCTGAAAAGTCCTCTCAAGTTCACACTCAAAAATGAAATGTGAAAATCACTTTCGTTTTTCCCTGTGTGGTGGTATGATAGAGGCCCTTTTAGAGGTTATTTAAACTTAGCTGCACTTAGAAGTTAGGATGTTCTAAGTTTTCGTTTAGTGAAATGTTGAGCAAGGTAGAGTTTTATTTCTGCATTTTTTTTATACTGATTGTTCCTCAATGACTTTGCAGAATCCAGCTGCTAGTGTTATTTTGTTAGGATGATATAAGAGGGTTTATTTTCATCAGTCCTGTGGGAACACACTGTGCTGGGAAAGGGCACGGCTGTCGCAGGTTGTGGGTCACGTGTTGAGGGTCACGGGTCACGCCTTGAGGGTCACAGGTCGAGGGTCACCGGTCACATGTTCAGGGTTGGGCGTGTCGAGGGTCACAGGTCATGTCGAGGGTCGCGGGTCATGTGTCATAGGCGCTCTGCACACATCCATGACTCGTCTCTCTGATCTGTTGGGCAGGACCCAGGCAGAGATGGCCCACACCTGTCGGGGCACAATCAACCTGGCCATGGCGCACATCGACACCGAGGACTCCTGCAACATCGTGCTCAGCAGCGGGGGGCGCACATACCACCTGAAGGCCAGCTCGGAGGTGGAGAGGCAGAGATGGGTCACCGCCCTGGAGCTGGCCAAGGCCAAGGCCATTCGGATGATGCATGACCAGTCAGGTACGGTGCAGCCAACACGTTCTGTTCATCAGCCTTCTGTGTCACCGCGACGTTGTCCAGCGGTTTCGTCGGCGCCTCACAGGTACGAAGCCAAGTGAGGCTGTGAGTAACAATCCAGACTGCAGCTGCACTGCGTTCGCTCCGGGAGATCTTTTGGAGGTCTTTAAAACGGGGATCTTGGCCATGTAGTAGTGGTATGTGGCGCTTTCACCAGTCCATTGATCTCATGTCTTGGGAGACGATGCTGGGTAGTGTTCCTGGTTTTCTGATGGAATTGAGGTCTTGCTTACAGATTATTTCACGAATTGTGGCTTGTGGTTGAACTGAACGGTATTGCGGGGATTAGACTTTAGGCCTTGCGTAGATTATCCAGTGCTAATCTGGTTTCATATGGTTCTTATCCAGCAGCAAGTGCTCTGACAGCCTTTCAGTGTAAGCACTGGCTTGAAATTGGTGTGTATTAACCTCAGTAATGACACTGACTTGGGTGAAGCCAGGACAGGACAGGAGAGCACACAGAATAGTGCGAGCTCTGGCTGACAGATTTCACAGCTACCCCTGGCCACACTCCACATCCACTTGTCCAGAACCCAAACCCAAACTCCTGTCTACTATCTGCAGGCCTAATGACATGACCCAGACTCAAACCTCTGACATCTGGGCCATAGTACTCTGGTCCATTGCATTTTGCAGTAGTTCATTCCTGTGATGAGGTGTGTTGAGCAGTTTTCCCTCTGGGTTCGGAACTCGAGAAAAATAAGCTTAGCTTGGGAAATGCAGACCAATAAAGTGTCATAACCAGCATCCCAGTTGCTACATCAGCGCATTTATTGTACCATTAATTCTGATGGTTTCATGGAAAAAGGAAAAGCAATCAGTTACTTAGTGAGCACGGGCGGGAAACTGCTGAATTGATCTTCAAATCTCTCAGTTTTATCTCCCCTGAGATGCCTACTCAAGGCATGTACAGAAGCAATCCGCTCTTTAGCTTCAGGACGTGCAGGAAACTGGCAATTCGCTGCCTCATCTGGTGACCAGTGAGGCTGAAGAGAGTCACTGTCCCAATAGCACTGCTGGTGGTCTTGGCCATGCACCCGCTCTTGGTGGTGGAGAGAAGGGTCCCTGGGAATTATCATGCTTTCCTCAGTTTTGGTGTGTAAGGCGAAGAGGCTTTCAGATAGGCCAGATGGAGAAAATAGATGCGTTATTGTCCCTGTGAGGTGAGCTTGTGCAGAGCTTCCCAGTCTCCATCCTGGTCTTCATTGCAGCTTCACTACAGGTTCAACACTGTGCTTAAACCTACTCAAAGCTCAGAGATGTTAAGTTATTTAAGAAACACAGTTGTTAAAAGACAACTTCCTATTTGTACAATAGCTAAAACAGTTTGAATTAAACCCTTTATTAGGGCTACTACAGGATCAGTATTTTAATTAGGCGCTCGGCACGAACAAGGCCCAGCAGCCTATTATTGAGTTGTGATGTGTACGGTACTGTGTGTATATAAAAGCATACTAGTGTTCATGTTGAAAAAACATTGCTCGTACTTCTGACAGATTGCCACAAGAGGGCAGATTCTTACCACTGATACCAATCGAACCCTCCAGAGTCGCAGGATTGCAGAAGATACAGCTTGAGCCAGGAATCATTTCCTTCTAAACTACCCCACATTTTTGGAAGAATTGACAGTCTGGCACCTTTCTTATCTTTTAACTAGACAGGCAAAATAAAAATATAAAATATTATGATATTTATTATTGAATTAAAAATATAAAAATACCTTCTTTGGTGAAAAAAATTAATTCTTTGTTGCCCAAATGTCTGTATTTGTTTAAAAAAAACGTTTTTTTGAAGAAGTTCTCAATTTTCTGCTTTGTGCTTTCCAAATGTGGACACTGTGGTGGACAGTAAGCTGTTAATCCTTGAAGGAGAGAGCTGCTGTGCATTTCTGACTGCAGTCACAGGGGTGGCAGCATGGGCTGGGCTGAGGTGTTCGATATTCCCGAGACCCACAGATGCTGAACCAGTGGAAGGCCAGCCGCGGTCGGTCCTGCTGGTTTCCCTGATGAATTTTCTGTCGCCATCCACATGGGAAGTTGTCCGAATTGAGAAATGTGACGTGTCGAGGTGCTCGTCCTCATTCCCCCGCCCTGCTGTGATGCACAGAGAGAGCCTCTGGGACCCACGGAGGGACAGCCCTTCCCTTCTCACACAGGCTCCACGCAGGCCGGGAGAAATGGGTCTTTACGCTTACAGGAAATGAAAGGAGATAACGATCCGGGAGATCACAGGCACTGACAAGCATCCTAGCAGAAAGAGCAATTACTCCGACAGCAGTAGGCCCTGCATGTCTTTTTGTCCAGGTATTGCAGGCGTTTAGCTTTCTAGATGAAGGCAGTAATTAAAGTGAGAAAATACCGCAGCTCCTGGTGTCTCTGCCAGATGCTGTGTTCGGTGACCTTTACCCACTGCTTGCTGTTGCCCTGCAGACTTGCTGATTGTCTAGGAAGTGAAATAAACAAGCAAGGATTTTTATGTGTGGGGATTATTTCTCTGCTTAAAGTGGAGTGCCCTTTGTGTGCTTCCCCTGGGCTTTTAAACACTCCTTTCCTTCCCCTCGGTGAGCTGGGAAATTTCAGCAGAGAGAGCACCGCAAAATCGCATTAAGTGAGGTCAGATGAAATGTGAGATCAATAAGTCATGTAAAGATTCTTAGACAGAAAATGAGTAATATTTGTAGGAGACCACATGAAGCAAATCGATCATCAGTCGTTGGAAATATCTAAATCAAGATATTTCCAGGCATCTTGAGTAATTTAGATGGAGAGGGTTACATATAACAGGTCACATGACAAACACCAACACTGTCAGTTTATCAACAGAATGCAGGGCTTTATTGCAGCTATTTTCATAATGTCAAAAGCGTTCAATTTTTAATCATGTCATTATCTTCCTGAAAATACACCACAGCATGCAGGTGGAAGACTGAGAAAAGCAGCTTTATTTAGATGATCATCTCTCATAAATTCCCAATTCTTTCATTGCTTTGAGCTCTTAGCCTGCAAAACAGTATTCATTCATTTATTGCTTTTTGTAAGTTACTTAAGAGACTCTGTCTCTGCTGCTGTGCAGTCCAGCTCAGCACCTAGTGACTCAGCGGAGCTAGTGGCTATTGACTGATGATTGAAAATTGTGCCTCGCTTTATATGGATCAAATGTGATTAATTGTTTTAACCAGTATATTTTTTCTTTTACCTGTATAATGTTAATCCTTTTGTTATTGTTCTTTGTGTGCTGTTCAGCCAGGGGTGTGTTGGTTTTTGTGCCATCAGTGATTTTGTAATGTAAACAACCATGAGGGTTGTTTAAGAGTTCACTGTCAGCTCCCCATCACCTGCCTCCTAGTGTATTTGGTATGTGTTGTGTTTGCCTGCTGGGACCCCAGTACCCCTGTGTACTCCAGGCTAGGCTAAGAAGAACCTCCTGGAATTGATATTCTAGGAGAAATGAGCATAGCAACAGCCTCGTGTTCCTCCAAACCATCATTTAAATGTCTTAATTGAAGAAATAAACATGTTAGGAGGACTAGATTCACTCATCTACAACAGAGACCTACTCTATGTGTCTGCAAGGAGCTGGCAACATTGAAAAGTTGATGTCTTTGTCACAGACACATTTGCAGATGGGAAGGTTTCAGTGCTTCTCTCTCTGAGCCACACTGAAGGTCCCGGGGGCCACTGATGTGTTAGAATCAGGGAGCCCCTGGCTGTCTTGTGTGACTAGCAGCCGGACCCAGGGTCACAATGGCAGAGCCAGCCCACAGTGTCAGAACAATGTCTCTCATGGCTGATTTGTGATGCTTTCTTTAAATTATAATCATTTCTTAAAGCCCATGGATATATTTTTCTCATAGTTTAAAATGTAAGAACTTGGCAAACATCCAGAAGTTTGCTAAAAATGACCCAGTTTTAGACTTCTGGTGCTGTGGGCCTTAATCACCACACAGACTCGGGGCCCTGGGTCTCTGCCGTCCCCCGGAGACCCTGCACTCCCTGGACACGAGACTGGACACTGGACCACTATTAGAGTCTCCCCGTCTCTATTGGGAAGCAGATTCTCACTATGACCTCCGAGCTATGGGACTTTTTCCATTCTTTCCAGGAGGAGAACTTTTCCGGGGAGAACCTGGAATGTTTTCTTCTCTACTGCCCCATCCACTAAGTACTTTGCTCTTCTGTAGATGTCCGTCATCATGATTTTAGGAACTGCGGAGGTGTGCAGGGGAGACATGGTGGCAGGTGCTCCGGTTCCCTCCCACAGTCCAAAGACATGCTGGGAGGTTGATTGGCTTCTGGGAAACTTGGCTCCGGTGTGTGAGTGTGTGTCTGTGTGTCTGTCTGCCCTGTGATGGACTGGCGTCCTGCCCAGGGTCCACTGCTTGTGTCCATTGCTTGCCGGCATCCCCAGCGACTCTGAATGAAGCAGTCAGGGATGGATGGATGAATAATCCTGTATCTAAAGCTCCCTACTCTTCCCTTGAAATCCCTGACGCGAGAGAGGCCGAGCCTCGTGCCTCGTGCTCGAGCTGTGGTGCAGCGTGTGCCGGGCCCGGGCGGGAAGCGAGCAGGGTCGAGGGAAAAGCTTCCTGCTTCCCGTGCCACGCAGGCAGAAGGCGCGGCTGGTTGTCATGGAGAGCGGAGCCTCTGAGGGCGCCATGTTACCATGGTGACTGCAGGAGATGCATCACACTGGGACGTATGTGTGGGTCACACTGCAGACTCGGAAAGGTAATCCTGAGCACGGATTAAAACGGGCAGGGCGGACTGTCTTTTGTTTCCTCTTATAGCTTTCCTTATGTGGGTTTGCAGAGGACTCCGAGTAGAGCGCTACAGAAGATCACACGTTTACTGGAAATCCATCCCTCCCAGTGCTATTTTCTGGTCCTGTGGGGAGTGGACTCCGGGTGTGGCAGGGCCGTTCCCTGCCTGAAACTGTGGTTGAGC